GGATCAGACGATTGTCGCGAAAAGACTTTTGTCGCAAGTCTTCCAAAGTATTGTCGGCGAAGTATCCGATGTCCGTCCGATCCCTTCGCTCTATACTTCCTGAAGACAAAGCAAACCATGAGAAGAGACATCGCATGCGAGCCATCACTCCATCACTCAAACAAACCTTTTTTCTGAATGATCTGCATTTCATTCAAATCGATGATATCGTCGTCTTTAGTCCTCTTCTTGTACTACAAGTCAATGGACACAAGTGATCAATGAATGCATCAAATGGTGAGACAATCACTCACTTTGTTCTCGATTTGCTGGACAACGGAGTCATAGAAGAACTTTGAATCGAATTGTTTCGATCGACAGCTTCTTTGGCGCCGTTTGACCGCCGATGCGATCGAGTCGTTCATAGAGTCCGAAGACATGCCGATGCCATCATCGGGTGATAGGATAGGACTCACACACGACAGTGACTTACGCTTACGGATGTGTTTTGGTGATGCATGCGATGGCTTCAGGAAAGCACTCAATTCGTCCTCCATTTTGGTGGTAATGAGTGGTCACTAAGATGTCACTCAATCACATCCAAAGCACTGGTATGTCATCTAATGTGCACTCATTTGGCGCCAAACACTCAACCACTCTCTCATTCACATGACATCCCTTTGCAAACACTAACGCATACAATAAGCTCACAAACTATGCACTCGTTTACCCATTCAATGAGATGTTAGTGTTTAGAATAGGATTGCGATTGAGTTGTGGATAAACACAGAGAACACAGCATTGCCTCCAATAACACACAAATCAATTGCATTCAAGTCATGAGAAATGCATTCGAAATGAACTTTTCGGTCGAAATCAGTGTAAAGAGGATCTGTTGGACACGACATTGCGTTTCCAATCAATGCATCACATGTTCACGTATTTGATGCCATAATACTTACGTTAGTTATGAACGACAATTTGTATACTTTTTCCCATTTAACCAATGTATTATTAGGCAACAAATATGTCCGGGTCATATATGCCATATAATTTATTAGAATTTTAGTTACCATATTTAGAACATATTGTACATGGTAGTATTATACGCAGATTTGCACTAAAAATTACTTAAATTCACAATTAAGTTAATTGTATCACTTAAATAAGAGTGTTGAATATAGTGGGTGTATGCCCTGTGCATATGCCTTATCTGTGTGACAATGTATGTGACACTGTCTGACTGTGGAGTGTGTGACAGAATACAGAATAAACAGAGTATTCAATGAATGCATGAATGAGTGAAACACTGATAGACTCATAGAGTGTACGGATATATAGGCGTCGGCTTTGCTGGAAATCAATTGATTGCATTTCATTTGATCCACAATTACTTAAGACTATAGACATCAGTGACAGCGGAGGATGTCTGAGATGGCGGACGCGGACCAGACTGTGGTGGACGAGGAGGTGACCAATATATCCGGCGGCGGGCTCTTCAGAGACTTACTCTAGCACTTACGCCTGTTTCTCCTGCTCTCAGAGGTCTTCATATTCGTCTGTGAAGACCCGCGGCGGTGTTGGCTACTCCACCAGCAGCTGAGGTATAACCCGAATCGCGTGATCGTCAAGAATCTGGTCCTTTTGGTCGACGGCAGACCCGATACTGTCCTGGATTTGAGTCCAGGTTTGTGTCACTGATTGCTATATCATATGAATGGTATGAGTGATGGTATGAGTGATGATCTGTTGCTCACTGTTAGGCAACTTAGAGGCCGTCAAGAAGAACGTGTTTGTGATCAAAGAGGGCATTCAGTACCGCATAGCGTATCTGAAGCACCAGGTCTCCCTCTAGCACTGCCCAGAATTCATAGTCGTCTTCTAGGAGTCTGTGCCGTAGGTTCACCTCTTCTACAACGTTTACCACCCGTCAATACGCGGGTTTTGCCTCATCCAGTCGTACACGAGTCCCATGGAGGAGATGCCGACGGGGCTACTGGCGAGGGGCACGTATAACGTCAAGTCCCTGTTCACCGACGATGACAATCACCAGTGGCTCAAATGGGACTGGAATTTCGAGCTCAAGAAGGACTGGTAGTCACACCTAATCACCCGTTCCCGTGATTAGCCCTTAATTCTTTCCAACTGTTTGTGCCTTTCTGTGTATGTCTTCTCAACTCTCCGTTAGATTTGACGTTTAGATTTCAAATCATATTTCATATAACTTTATATACAAATCCAATCAATGCTTACAAATTAATTATTATAAATATATTTATAAATCCAAATCCTATTTAACTTTTTTCTAAATTATAGATTTTATTTTAAAACTAATCCAAAGTTTATTTGAGTTTGAAGACAAACCTTTTTTTATTTTTTGTAAAATTGTTTTAAATTATGAAACAAATAAATATCCAATAATTGAATTGCCATTCAATTGTTATCCATTTTGTAAACGAAGAAAATAACGAGAATTATGTTATGAACGCATTTCAAGATAACACTAATACCTGTGTATATCGTATGGAAACAATAGGTACTGTATTATCAAAACGACAAATGTTATCGAGTTATCACTTACAGGGTATCTATTAATACAAGTTCTTCACAACTCTTCACAATTTATCAAAAGTTTAGAAAAGTCGAGTCAACAACAACTCGCACTCCACACGTCGTTTAAAAAATAATAATTTATTATTCAAATTCAAGACTCGTTACAAATTTGCTGTATTCATAAACAATAAGTTGTAAATTAATTTAAAATATAGTGAAAAATTCATTAAATAGTTTTATCACATAATCCTCAAGTCTATCACAATAATCGAGATTTGATTCGATCCCATGTTTGACAACAAAACTCCGATATGTTCAATAAAATATACATTATTGTAAACTTCAATTCATGATTTCAGATGCATTTCATTACTATTCTTATATTCATTTAGAGTTCTATTTGTTTTTAAATTAAATACTAACAAACTTTTGAAAAAATAAAATTTCA